CATCATGCAAGCCAGTGCTTCTCATCAAGTGATGCTACCGAGATCGGGCATGAGGACCTCTTTAGCTGAAAAGACACCCCGTGCTCATTTGTGCAACAGTGAATGGGTAAAGCTCCAGTCTGCTTCTTCCGATTGCACAGTCCATGGCAATCGGGTTCTGCCCTTGCGAAGCGAGGCTGAGCTTACTGCAGATTGTTGGATCAATTGCCGTGTTTTGGGGCAACCACAATCCGCTCCCTGGCAAGAGCTGTCAAGATGTCCGATGAATCGCGTCATGACTGAGAGGGACGCAAAGCTCCAGCATGCTGGCAGTGGGTCCTCCGGATGAGCCGTTGCGAAATGTTTGTGTACTGGATCTCTTGCCAGCTCTTTGAGAGTCTTACATCTCTATTTGAGAGTCTTGCATCTCTATGGCACGGTCACAAAGTGCCCGACGAAATGCAGGAAGCGAGTTGATCGGCATCATGTGGGTTGGTAGTACAAGCAGCTCATCGCAACTTGATGCGCCAGCATCATCGCGCTTCACTTCTGTCGGCTCCAGAGTCACTCCATGCCATTCGTGCCCTGGCCTGCTCGTTGAATGCCTATACTGCAAGATCATGCCACTGCTTGAGCAGGTGCAGCAATCGCCTCCTTCACTGCGGATTCCCTTCAAACGTCACTTCTTGGATTGGTTGTCCAAGCTCTTGCATTCATACTTTCTGCATCGTGCAAGCCAGTGCTTCTCATCACGTGATGCTACCGAGATGGGGCATGAGGACCTCTTTAGCTGAAAAGACACCCCGTGTTCATTTGCGCAAACAGAAGCCAAACATTCGCCTGAGTAATGTCGTGCCTACTCTGCCCTGTTGCATTCCTACGAGACGTCCGTGGAAATGTGTGAGAGGGACACGGAGTTTCCAGCATAGCAGCACATCCGGGGGTATTGCAGCTTGGGATTTCATGCAAACAGGCAACAGGGTCTCTATGCGAGAGTCTCTGCGAAAGCATGGCAAACTCAGTGGATTTCGCTCTTCGCTGGCGCGCATGCCAAGCCCTGTGTTCAGCATTGCTGTGTCGTTTACCGTAAACCTCATTCGAGTCGAAGTGTATGGCGATTCCGCGGTTCCGGTTTGGAAGTCAGCGTTCCAAAGCGGTGCCCAAAGCAACCGACGATGTCTGCCGGTGAGTCAGCGTCAGCGGATGCAAAGGGGAAAATGAGATCTCATTCCATCACTTCTTGGGCATCCAATCAGGGCAGTGCTGCATTATGTTGATTGATTGTGCTGGCATATGACAACGCCCAGGGTTCAACATTGGGCAAAACGCACAGCTCAGGATCAATAGCTTGTGCAATGTTTAGAATATCCATGTCGATTTCATCCCCTTGAGGATGTGTGGAACAGTCAGAACCTAGAATCCCCTGAAGAATGTGCTGAAGGAGACAAACATCGCACGGCCGTAGTACCAAGTAGTTGGTCCTGGGACAAGCTGCCAATCAAAGCAAAACACAAAAGCTGGAGTATCGAACCTTCGACTCGCGATCGTGTCATCTTCCATCGAGTCCTCAAGGAGCAATGTGAAACATGTGAAGCACAGCGCTCAGGGCTCGACCCGTGTCCTCCATCCGGGATGGCAAACGCGAGTGACGCGAAAGAGTCACCCCGTTCCGGCTTCAGCCCGCTGCGCGCCATGCAACCCGGTCAAGTGTCTGAACAAACAGCTTTCAAGACTTTGGCCGTCCTTTTTCGCAGACCTCATGTTTTCTTTCGCCGGACAATGAAAAACAACATAATAACAAAAACAACTCATATATGCAGTTAGATGCAGCATATTCTGCTGATTCCTTGTGTTTTCAATTCTCTCCCGTTTCAATCGACAGCAATTCGCAAGCGATTCCTTTCATGCTTTGCATCGTGATGTTCATGCAGTCCCGAATCTTTCTGAATGTCCACCACATAAAGTGATTCTGATGGGGTTCAACATGTTTTACGCCATGATGATGACGCAGTTCAGAATCTTTCGGAACAGCACCAAACTGGGTTCGTCGTGCGTTATGTCATGCCTTTCAGAACACCTTTTTTGCAGAGCTACACAGGCCTACTACTACAGGGCCCAGCGCGTTTCAACTGATGTCATTGGCATGCCGTTTGGATCCAAAGCTGCGAGACTTTTTCCTGACCGCTTCCCATCCAAATTGAATCTTGACCCATTGTTCAAGTCTGAAATCTGATTTGACCCATTCCAAGTCGCTTGCCAGTCAGGCTCGAGAACAAATGCTCAAAGGCGACCGGCTTCGGTTTACGCGGCGCGAGCTGCGCAGTTTTCAAGTCAATTTCGATTTAGTTGGAGCATGGCAGGCTCCGGGGCTGACACGCCAAACACTTTGAAATTGGAAGTGAACTGAGCATCAGCCACGTCGGGTCCTTGGCGTTCTTGCTGAGCCTTGCAATGGGATTGCTAGTTAGGTCCCCAGGTTATTGATTTTTTGGTGGAATGGTACCAAACAAGCCGATGTCGACGATGTCGGACAACTCACTTTGGTCTGGCACTTTGATCAGTGCTTTGAAGCCTTTGAACGCTTTGCAGTTGCGGCTCCGTCGGCTTTCAGCTCAGGTGCGCTTCACGTGAGACTTGCCGGCATGAAACGCATGGGGTTAAGACTTTAAGATAAGATCAAGGAGCCAAAGATCCACGCGGATAAAATTTGACAAGCTTGATGTCTCTGCCATGGTCTACGGGCTGGACAGGCGAGCTCTGAGAAAGCTGGGGAAGTGCCACACCCTCCCAGAGTTGGGCATCCATTTCACAATCTATGTCTACCTCAAAGACTTTTCTCCAAGCTTCACGCTTTTCACGCTTCGCACTAGTTCCCTGCGAGAGATGCAGAGTGAAAGGCGGACCCGTGGTGTGATATCAAGGCCTTGCGCTGGTGCGTGAGCGTCGAGGTCGAGGTCGAGAGCATTTTCCATGTGTCAAATGCGGGCGAAATCGTTGACGGAAGGGGCAACGGCGGCACTCGGTGATTGAGGTGACGGAAATGACCGAAGTGACCATGGCCCGAGGCGCAGCTGCCGTCGCAGCCGCAGGCGGTGCCAGGCACGGGCACACCCGGAGTGAGGTGTGCGAGACAGCGATGCCCCGGCGAAGGCTCCGAAGGCTGCGAAGGGCCACGCGTCCGCGTCGGGTCAGCTTCGGAGCCGTTTGCCCTCGTGCTTGGCATTGAACCCGGCACGGGGTTCCGACGAGGTCAAGTCTATCACAACTGGACAAGCCCTTCCCGCACTTGCCAAAGCACCTGCCAAAGCACTTGCCAAGGCACCTGAAGCACTGACCACTTGGCTTCACTTCAGACAGTGATTGCCTTGCCGGCTTTGCCTTTCTCACACGGCCTGTGCTTACGTGTCAAGCGGAGACCCAGCTTGGCTCTGTGGGGGACCTGGCTTCAATGAGGGCTACGTCCAGGGACACCTGCGTCGCCTGCGTCACCCGCATCACCCGCGTCACCTGCGTCACCTGTGCGTCGGATTTCCAGAAGGCCTCACTGGACACGTGAGTCTGCAGGCGAACTGTGGGCTTGACGTCATAGTTGTCCGTTCAGACAGAGGTGCCCGCAGTGTGGACACTTTGCCCGGCGGAGTACGTCGGAGAAACTCGAATCTTGTAGACCTGACAAACCTCACAGATCTGACAGACCTCACAGACCTGACAGACGCGACAAACTTACACTTCAACTCACAGTTTCGCGGACTTCAGGCAGATCGGATGCTCGGAGTGCTGCTTCTGCATGTGTCACGATGGCTCAGGACCATGGCTTGGCAAAGCTCTACCGTGCTGATGAATCTTATTCAGCCAGCCTAGCTGTTGGGATGCGGGCTGTACGGAGAGATCTCACCGCTTGCAAGCAGTGGCGTTCAAGCCACAGGCACTGGTCATAGTTGGAGGCCTCACAAGGAAGGCGAGTCTGGGCCTCCATTCCACATGTGCTGCCATCAGGCAACGTCTATGCATCAAAACTGACCTCGAGCCTCTCTGCCGGCGTGGCTGGCGCTCTTGCCAAGGTCTCTTCCACACTCCTTGAAGGCATTGCCAATGTCATCTTGCCGGCCCAGTGACTGAAGATTTCATGCAACCGCACACATTGGAATCCTGAGATCTCGGGTGCAGAAAGGACGGACAGGCCGGAAACATTGAGATCGAGAACATCGAGAACATCGAGAACATCGAGAACATCGAGAAGATCGAGAAGATCGAGGCCGAAATGGCCCGAGCCGGCATGGCTGAAACTTGGCCCGATTCATCGGAAATCGCGTGAGACTGGGCGCGGCTTCGGAATCCGCATGAAGTGCACACAGTGCGATCTGTGGAACATATGCCCCATATGGCTTGCCATAGGATTTGTGAAGGCGACACGCAGCAGTCCGGCATGCCCTCAGTGGCAGCTGCACCATGATGGCTTCGAACAGGCTGCGGCCCTTTGGCTTGGGCTGTGCAAACAATGCCCGTGCCAACACGGCAAACGGGGCAAACGGGGCCGACGGGGCAAACGGTGCCGACGGTGCCGCGGATGCGGCCCAGCCGGAAAGGGAATGGTGTCCTCTGTCCGCACGTTGGCCGGGTCGGCCGGGTCGGCCAGGTCGGCCAGGTCGGCCAGGTCGGCTCAAGTGCACCAATCTGAGAAATCTGATGTGGGGCAGCGCAACCCGCGCGAGCAGCGAGAAGTCTGCTTCCCACATCGCCTCACGGTCTCTCAGGTCAGCCCGCGAGCCCCATGAGCTTTGCAAACTTTCAGCGCTTTGCGCCGCGCTTCATGGATCAAGTGAAAGGAAAGGATTGAAAGGAAAGGAGGTGAAGTCGAGGGAGGGAAACTGGTGAAAGCGGTGAAGTGCACAAGGACTGTGCATCAGGTGGGACCTTTGATCTGTGGTCTTTCCATACGTTATGCTTCTCACGGGGTCTTCCTTCGCCAACCCTTGCCATCAAAGACACGTCAGGCCTCTGGACTTGCTTTTGCACATGGCCTATACGTGCAGCAGGCTCAGCGCCAGAGCAGGGTGGGGAATCCAGGTCCCCGAAACCTTCAAGCACAAGAGTGCCCGCGAGTGCGGTGTCGCCGGTGTCGCCCGTGTCGCCTGCGCCTGGGACCCAGCAGTGTGCTTGCGATCTCTGAATGGCACGGAGTGGCAGCCTGGCTTGCTCTGCACCCACTGTCGTAGCAACCGGAAGAGGCCTCGCGGGTCAACGTACACGGATTCTGCAGAGTCCGATCGGCAAACGGAGCCAAGAGGTCCAAGCGGCTTACGGGGCTTGGCCTTGCCAGCTTTGATCTGAGCCCGATGGGCAGTGTGTGACATCTGGCAAGGTGCACAGGACGTGGCGGACATGGCAGACATGGACGTGGCGGACACGGCAGCCATGGACGTGGCAAATGTGGCAATGTGAGGGTTTAGGCCGAAGTGTTCAGCTCTTCAAAAACGACGAGCTGGAAGAGCCGGGGCCCGGCTAATGCGTGCTGAAGAAGAACGCAACTGCAGCCTCAAAACCCGAATGCTCTGCTCGTCTGCTTGTTGTGCTGCAAGCCAGGGATTGGATGGCGTCTGCGCTCTTCAGCTTGCGAAGGCTTGAGCTGCACGGGCACGGATGCCACGGCGCGAGCGTTGGCCGTGCGACGGCACGGGCCATACGTGGAGTGTGACTGCTCAACGAGTCAGCTGAATCAGCGAACCAGCCAGCCGAGCAGTGCGTGGCACGACCTCACGGCCTCACGGCCTCATGGTCTGATGGAACTGACGGAACTGACCGCCCGCAAGCTGCATCCACACTCCACGCCGGTCACAAACGCAGACGAAGGCAGAAACCGTGGATGTGCTCACGCGTGTTCACCGTGTCACAAGGCTTTTGGGCGCCCTGTGAGCGCAACTGCGTCTAGCTTGTCGGGTGACAGGCTCTGCGCAAGCAAAGTCGGTCTTGCTAGGGCTCGCGGATTGGCATGGAAACACATTGCAATACACTCAATCTTCCAGGATAAGTGGAAGTCCTGGGCCTAGGTGCTCTGCTTTATTCCCGCGGCATTTGTTCTCAGCCTTTTCAACAGGAGGCTTTCAAGCGACAGCTCTTGTGCGGAACGTAAAGACATGCGTGGCAGAGGCACAACGCTCGGACCCTTAAAGGATGCGACCCTTCCTGCAGATAGCAGTATCGATGGAACAAGCCGTTCAAGCTGAGAGCAGATCCATTGCGAGCGCTGACGCTGGCGTTTGGTACTCTTCTTGACAACCAATTCACAGGTGCTTACAGGTGCCAGCATTTCAGCCAAATGGTGGTGTCGATGCGTCAGTGCCACATCGTGGCGAACGCGTGCCAGAAGGCAATTCTGTTGCTTGCGCCCCATAGCCACGCGCAGCCGAACGCAGGGGCAAAGCCTGACGTCACTTGAGTCTCCGTTTTTGCACACTCGCAAGCACAAGCTGGCAAAGGCACCGCTGGGACCAAGTCCACCGTAGGCCATCAGGGCAAGCGGGGTCCGGTGGACCCTCGCGTAGAACCAACGGCTGTGATGGCCGCACTTCGGGGTGCGAATCTCGGAGCCAAAAGGGCTACAACGGCACCACGTGCGTGGCGATCCACCGACTGACAGCCTTCACGGAATGCTCAAGTGGAGTGCTGACCGCGCAACCGCCACGGGCGCGGAATGTGTGGAAATACGGGAGGTCTGGCCTCGTGCGTGGAATGATTTGCAGCCTCACCCTGATGACTTGGCCATGCGCAGGCCACACTTGCATTCGGCTGGACTCTTCAAACTCTGACTCTGGCTGGCCGTCATGACCGTCATGACCGTCATGGCCGTGATGGCTGCGCAGCTGGCGGATGCCATGAGAATATGGCACTTCACTCGGTGTGTGTGGCGATGACGGAGCTTGGCATGGCAAACTTCTGCGTCACATCCAGGGGGTCCAGCAAGCGGACCGTCCCAGAGCTGATCGCGGCCATCGCCGCCTGCATCTGGCCGTGGCACAGGGAGCCCTTCAGTGGCACGAACGCGCCAAGTGGCACCAAGCTCGAGGCGCGGACCGAGTCTACGGCCGGCGAATCACCACCACCGCAGGCACCGCAGGCACCGCAGGCACCGCCGGCACCGCCGGCACCGCTGGCCATGATGCTTGTGGCAACGGTCGTAGCCCTGGCAGCCCTGGCAGCCGTGGCAGCTGTGGCCGCAGCGGTTGCAATGGCTTTGCCTTCGGCGAGCTTCGCCTCGCTGGGCATCGGCAAGTCGAGGCCCTCTGCAAATCGCCTAGCAGGCGTCCGAGGGGCTGAGGCGGCTGAGGCGGCTGAGGCTGCAGCGGTCGGCCCTGCACAAGCGGAGCGAACGCACGGCAGCTAGAGCTGCGTGTCTCCCAACTCCGATGCGAGGCCCGGGAGTGCCAGGCCTGTCAGATTCAGGCCACCCAGCCACGCATCACTCCGCTCCCAGCCCAGGCTGCTGGTTTGCTGGGCCTGGCCCGGGGCACCCATGGGCACGCGTTCCCCCCGTGCACACGACGCACCGCAGTGACCCGGGTGACCCGGGTGACCCGGGCACGGCCCGCGCGGCCTTGCTGGATGCACGCAGAGAAACCCGCAGCCAAAGGGAGACGACCACCAGCGCCAGTCTCAGTCGGGCGATGGATTCGATGGATTCGCCGACTGGAGCACTTGGATTCACTTGGAAGCCCTTTGGGCACGAGCGCTCTGGCATGGCCGGAATCTGATGTGCCATCGCGGCCATGAGGTCATGGACATTCAAGGCATGCTGGCAATTTCGGCAAGCTGTCAACAGAGCACATCGAGCTCTGCAAGTCTTGACGCGGAACAGCATCAGGTCACAGCTCGGAGGCACAAAGGCAATCAGCACAAGCCGCCTAACATCTGCGGGCTCTGGCGCTGGTGCTTGCAGAATACATTTATTTGCATTTGCTTCGATGTGTACGCGTCAAGCTTCAAGCGGGCAACGTGTTCTCCGGATGAGCCGTTGCGCCATGTTCCTGTACTGAATCTCGTGCCAGCTCTTTGAGAGTCTTGCATCTCTATGGCACGGTCACAAAGTGCCCGAAGATATGCAGGAAGCGAGTTGATCGGCATCATGTGGGTTGGTAGTACAAGCAGCTCATCGCAACTTGATGCGTCAGCATCATCGCGCTTCACTTCTGTCGGCTCCAGAGTCACTCCATGCCATTCGTGCCCTGGCCTGCTCCTTGATGCCTATGCTGCAAGATCATGCCACTGCTTGAGCAGGTGCAGCAATCGCCTCCTTCACTGCGGATTCCCTTCAAACGTCACTTCTTGGATTGGTTGTCCAAGCTCTTGCATTCATACTTTTTGCATCATGCAAGCCAGTGCTTCTCATCAAGTGATGCTACCGAGATCGGGCATGAGGACCTCTTTAGCTGAAAAGACACCCCGTGCTCATTTGTGCAACAGTGAATGGGTAAAGCTCCAGTCTGCTTCTTCCGATTGCACAGTCCATGGCAATCGGGTTCTGCCCTTGCGAAGCGAGGCTGAGCTTACTGCAGATTGTTGGATCAATTGCCGTGTTTTGGGGCAACCACAATCCGCTCCATGGCAAGAGCTGTCAAGATGTCCGATGAATCGTGTTATGAGTACGCGGGACACAACGGTCCAGCATGATGGCAGCGGGTCCCCTGAATGAGTTGTTGCAGCGAAGCATTGATGTACTGGATGTCGTGCCAGCTCTTTGAGAGTCTTACATCTCCATGGCACGGTCACAAAGTGCCCGAAGATATGCAGGAAGCGAGTTTATCAGTATCATGTGGGTTGGTAGTACAAGCAGCTCATCGCAACTTGATGCGTCAGCATCATCGCGCTTCACTTCTGTCGGCTCCAGAGTCACTCCATGCCATTCGTGCCCTGGCCTGCTCCTTGAATGCCTATGCTGCAAGATCATGCCACTGCTTGAGCAGGTGCAGCAACCGCCTCCTTCACTGCGGATTCCATTCAAACGTCACTTCTGGGATTGGTTGTCCAAGCTCTTGCATTCATACTTTCTGCATCGTGCAAGCCAGTGCTTCTCATCAAGTGATGCTACCGAGATCGGGCATGAGGACCTCTTTAGCTGAAAAGACACCCCGTGTTCATTTGTGCAACAGTGAATGGGTAAAGCTCCAGTCTGCTTCTTCCGATTGCACAGTCCATGGCAATCGGGTTCTGCCCTTGCGAAGCGAGGCTGAGCTTACTGCAGATTGTTGGATCAATTGCCGTGTTTTGGGGCAACCACAATCCGCTCCCTGGCAAGAGCTGTCAAGATGTCCGATGAATCGTGTTATGAGTACGCGGGACACAACGGTCCAGCATGATTGCAGGCGGTCATGTGGCCCGATTTTGTGGGGGTTCTTAGATATGAGGAATTGCGGCACTCCAGCGGAATGACAGCATGTCATCCGAGTGGGGTGTCGCAGTCGTTCACGTTAAGTGGAGTCATGCGAGGCGAAAAGACGTGTGTTCTGTACGTTTCAAGCTGTGCCCAAAGGCAGTGCCAGTGCCTGAAGTGCCTGAAGCGGTGCCTGCCCAGGCTACCACGCACGAGCTTCTCATAGCCAGTAGCGGCAATTCGGGGGAGTGCTGTGGAACACAAGGAGAAGCCGCGATCCAATGCTCGATGTTGGGGAATGACTGTGGCTCAAACTCGGAATGATCAAATGCATGGTCCACGTCTTCATACTCTTGCTTTGCCATGGGGCAGTCACATCCCAAGATTCGCTGAAGCATCTGCTGAAGAAGGCATGCTTCGTTGGGCCGTAGTACGAAATAGTCAATCCTGGGAGGAAAAAGTGGCAGATTCTGAAAGCACCGAACTGACGACTGTCCTTGCTCCCGTCAGTTGTGCTTCCGTCCTTGACAAAACCCTTGCACGTGGCTCACATGGCTCACATGGCTCACATGGCTTGCATGGCTTGCATGGCTTGCATGGCTCTCAAGCTCGCGCCTCAGGAGACAAATGAGTCGTGCCATCTGCTCTGGGTTCGCTCAACACCTGAGAACGCATCTGTCCCGAATCGCTGGGTCGTTTGCGATAGACTCGGATGGGTCCCCGCCGGCCCTGCCTGTCATGTTGACGGGCACCAAGAACGCCCTCAAAGCAAAGCGGCTGCACAGCTCAGGGCGCGAGCACCGGCACTGAGGGCACCGAGGGCACTGAACGGGGCACAGCTCTGCATTGCGCTCGGCTCTCACATCTCGCTCGCTCCTTTTTTCGCCTGCAAGGAGTTGTTGAATCTTGAGGCTCACATCCCAGACGCAGGAAATGCCTCAGAGCAAACTGGAACTTCGGATGGTCGAACGCCTCAAGCCTTCCACGCCTACGTCGAAATGGCCGGCGTCCAGCGTGCGAGTCTCAGCGGATGAGTACAAGGCCCTCCGGCTCGCCAGCTCCGGATCCTGAACACAAAGAATGCGATCAGGGGGAGATCGGGTAATATGAGAAGAGTGACACTGACCAGCCAAAACAGCAAAAACCGTTTCTTTTTTTTTGTTTAATAGGAAAAAACAGAAAGAGCAAAGCGACTGACAGGAAGGCTTCCGGCGGGTGCCTCTTGGAAGGTGCGGGTCCAGTCAGCTTCGCTGAGCAGCGGCGACCTGAGCCGAAAGCTCCGCGTCATGACTCAAAGCGATTTGAGGCGGCGGCAAAGCACAGCCGACGTCACAGGCGCCTCCCGAGGCAATGAGATGCAATGAGATGCAATGAGATGCAATGAGATGCAATGAGATGCAATGAGATGCAATGAGATGCAATGAGATGCAATGAGATGCAATGAGATGCAATGAGATGCAATGAGATGCAATGAGATGCAATGAGATGCAATGAGATGCAATGAGATGCAATGAGATGCAATGCAAGTTGTATGTCTGTCGCGCGTCGCCTGTCAAGCGGAAAGAAGGAGCCTGGGCTGCATATATCACGTGGCTTGTCCCAGGCCATCTCGGGGCCCTTGCGTTCTCGGCAGCACAAAGGATGTCCACTGTGGCCACTGTGTGCATGTGGTCCGTGACAGCCTCCAAACAAAAGCAGAGTGAGTGTAGACTAAACATCTTTGAACAGAATTGGTCAACTCTGTGTTGATTTTTCTTAATGAACTGCCCACGCTCGCCCATCGCCGCGCCTGTCGCAACTCGGGAGAAGCTGCCCAGGGCAACTTTCGGCGGTCCTCGCTGTGAGAAAGACTTTCGTGGATTCCGTCGACATGTGTACTTGCCCATGCGTATTCACAAAAACATACACACAAACGCACTCCGCAGAAACGTGATCGGCATCGGATGGAGCCGCTCGGGGCCCCGGCATCCAAAGCCACGAGGCCGCGGATGCCGCAGCCCATTCGCTCCAAGTCTGTAGCCACCCGCGCTGCCTAACTGGAATTCGCCTATTAGGCTTCCGATGTTTTCGTTGAAACACGATCAGAATGCCAAATACAAAACCCGAAGTTCAAGGGTCGGGGCCCCGGCAGCTCGAGCACCCAGGCTCCAGCCCAGCAACACGCTTGGATCTGCCTCGAATTCGGACTCCGGACTCCGGACTCCGGACTCGTCACATGTATATATAGACATGATATAGACTGACATATGGATACGTGTAGCCTATTTCGCTGCCTGGCATGGCAACAGCAGCTGTTGCAGGGATACGAAGCCCAGCTCTTGCACCTGCGGAGTCACGTCGAGCGTGGCGCAGGTTTGCTTTGCTTTTGCATTCGGCCTGGCTCACCAAGTCCACGCCAATGAGGCTGCCACCCCAGCAGAGGGACAGGGCCTGAAGAATTGGCGGCAGGGGCATTCGCTTGGGCTCCCTGAGCAGCGGACGGCCCAGGCGTTTCCTCGCAAGCCCCCGCTGAAGGCGAGGAGCACACCTCGAGGGCAGCTCGCGACCTCGCCTCAGCCCCTCAGCACTTCAGCCCCTCAGCACCTCAGCACCTTGCCTGTTGGAGAACTCGCCGATGGACTGGGACCTTTCCCATCAAATGTCACGTGACGTCACGTGACGTCACATCACGTCACACGCGCATCATGTCACGCGGCACCCACAAAGGTCCGAGGCTCCCCGCTGTGTGGCACCTGACGCTGAGCTTTCATGCTTTCATGCTGGCACCGTACCATCCGTCGCCTTGATGCGGAGCTCCTTGCAGAACTCCAGTGGCGCCCTGACCAAGCCACAAAAGCCACAAGAGAAATTCTGAAAGCCCGCAAAAGCTCAGAGAGCTCAGAGAGATTGATCTGAGAAAAGCCCCGCCTCGCAGTCAGCGCAGATGTGCAGCTGGCGCCTTGAAAGACAGCAGAACACACTGAGATGTGAGAAACAAGACCAAACCCGGGCCGGCCTTCAAACCTGTCCAAGCCTTATGGATCTCACGGAAACTCCCGAAGATCGAGTCACCCGAGTCACCCGAGTCACTCTCTTTACACAAAATCCGAGTGATCGTCCTCCAGGCTTAAGCTTAAGCGATTCGTAGAGACGCGAAACCAACCGCGCCAACCGACAGACGCGATCTCACGCGAGTGAGACGGAAGCTGGCATGCTGCCTGTGCATTCCTCTTGCGTCTCTGCTCCTTGTGCTCAAGCTGTGCTCAAGCAATGCTCAAGCTGTGCTGAAGCCAACTCATTAAGGGACGCCCGGCATTCCAAAGAGATGGCCGCGTCTTGCTGGCCTTGGATTCAGGTAAGCCATGCTTTAGCCTTCAAAACTTTACTTCGGCTACAAGCGATCGTGGAGTGCAAAAAGCCGTGCTGGGCATGGGGCACCCCGCTCCATTAAGGCATTTACATTGCCGTCACTCGCCTCTCGCGTGAAGGCGCTCTCGGCTCACGGGCGCCGTCAAATGCAACGTGAGATCGAGCCGCGCCGAGCATGCAGAGCATGCAGAGCATGCAGAGCCAAGGCTACACCAGCTGCACAGAGTCCACACTTCGGGTTCTCAGCGCCCAAACAGCCACAGCAAAACCAAAGGCAAGTACTTCACAAAGGCAAGTGCTTCACCTCGATGTCGGCTTCGGCGTTCTGGACACAAAACGAATGCAAGGAATGCAAGGAATGCAAGGAATGCAAGAAATGCAAGGAATGCAAGGAATGCAAGGCCGCACAAAACCGGGGCCCTGAGCCCCGCGAAAGCCTTTGCAAGGAAATCTGTGCCTGGCACATCCTACAAGCTCACGAGCTGTCTTCTGCTTCAAGAGCCAAAATGCATCCCTCCTCCCGGCAGAACAAGATTGCGCTATGGGGTCTTAGCAAATGTCCACTTCGCTTGGTTCTCACATGCCCCGCAATCGGTGTGGGTCACGTGAATGCAGACATGATTGTAGCAGGCGCAGCATCTTCAATAAATATATCGCCAAGCGGCTAGTACCACTCATGACTTTCCTCCCTGCTTTACCACAAAGGCATCTGGTACCTTGGCTCCCCTCCAACTTGGTGTAGATGCGCTTCAAATCACTGGCCATGCAATGATGAACATTGGGAAAGCTGAAGGGGTGGTTGAGAAATCCCTCGGTGGACGCCTTCAAACACTCCACCGCAGCTCTGCCTTGTCACAGAGTCTTGCACAAAGCTTGGCCAATGCACTTTGGAAGCATACAGTAGACTCTGTAAAAGTCAGAGAGACTAGAAAAGTGTTCGGTTTCCTCAGACGTGCGCTTTAATACTTGCCCTGATTTGAGGTGCCTGACTTGCGGTCTCATTTGCAGTCTCTGTACCGGCACTCTTGCAGACGGACTTTGACTTTGCCCGGCAGTTGACTGTGCAGACTGCACTGGCTTACTGCAAGTTGCACAAGGGCGTTGGAGGCTCTGGGCTCCAGCGACTCCAGCGACTCCAGCGAGTCTAGCTTAGCTGTTTACTTTGTCCAGACAGCCCGGCAGCCTGGCTCTGGCAGCAAAACCACGAAGCTTCGCCTCGATCGCAATAGGCTTGATTGATGCTCGCGAGCCAGAAGGATGTTTGATTGCTCCAACTGCAAATGCCAACTTGTCACAACCGGACCTTTGGAACAGTCAAAGCCGCGGCTTTGCTTCTCTCAGAGCTTTGAAGCGAGATGTTTGCACTAGCCTTGGCAGTTGCGCCGCCTAGTTTGGGCCTGGAGAACATCAGGATGTAGAAAGCCGGCCAGTTGGTTTTGCAGGCTTGACCAAGCCAAGCAAGAACCGCAGCATCTGTTCTGAAAGCCAGAGGGACCATCTCGAAGGGGGGCTCAACGGCTGGCGGCTTTGAACACGAGGTGACTCGCCGGGCTCTCCAAAGCCAAAGCCGGGGCCGCTTGCGTGGAGGCCGCCAGCGCCGGTGCCGCCGACGCCGGCGACGGCGCGAAGGGCCGCTCACAGCGGAGGCTCAGCTGCAGAGCCGCGGCCTCGCGGCTGAAGCGCTCGCAGTCCGACCCGAGGCGCCCGAGTCCTTGGCCTTGGCCGCATGCGCGTCGGCGCGCGAGTTGGAGGGCCATGGCCTTGGCCTGGTGCGGCCCGTCTGCCACGAAGTCCAGGGACAGCTCCTGCCACGCAGCCGCGGGCAGCACGTCATCTGTGAGGTAGAGGTCCATGGCCTGCAGCAGCCCGATGCCTGGCAGCAGCAGCGACAGCAGCATGCAAGGCACCATACCACGGGACAGGTTCCCCAAACACACGGAGGCGCTCCGGTCAATGGCCCGGAGCTCTGCCAACATCGCCATGGCCAGGCCCCCGCCCAGCACGAAGCCGTGCAGCGCCGCCACCAAGCCCAAGCCCTTGAGGCGAAGCACCGCCAGGAACATGGCGTAGGGCGTGGCCTGGAACAGCGCGGCGCCCGGATTGTGCGGATTGCCTCCCGGGCAAAAGTGGGGCCCGCCGCCCTGCAGCCACAGGGTGAAGTCCCTTGCCGAGTCCGTTGCCAAGTCCGCTGCCGCGCTCGCGCGAGTCGTGTTCGCAGGCTTGGGCCTGACAAATGCTGTTCGGGGCTTCGGCACCTGGGCTTGGGTGTCACTGTCCTGTCGGCTCCCGTTGAGTCCGGCAAAGGCGCCACGGCCGAGCCGCGGGCGCTTCGAGCCATTGGTTTCTGCGGCTCTCCCTCCGATCACTCCGGCTGCAAACGCTCCACTCGTTCCAGTCTCTCTAACCGGTCCAGTCATGAGCCGTCATCTCACAGGCTGCACGGGCTGCAGGGGTACCGGGCCGGATCTGAGTGCCCACGAAGCGCAAGCAGTAGCAATAGTAGCCCCTAAATTGGGGCGAGAAACAAACGGCAAGGGCAACCTCTCCAAAGATGCCTGGCTTACGCCTGGCAAGTGGCTTGCGGGAAAGGTGCAAGAGCTGCTCAAAGCAAACTTTTCTTCAAATCTGCTGCTTCACCCGTGCTTTTCCCTTTTGCTGGAGAGCAATAGATTAGGCTGCGCTGCAACTGCAGGACCTTTAGCAGAGCTGCACACTTTATGAAATTGAAATTACTTGTTGCTGTCTAAACTTGTTTAACTGTCTAACTTTGCACGATGTATTGAACACCGGAGGGTGCTCAAAGTGCAACGGGCTGTCGTGGCTGTTGCAAAGCTCCCACCAAAGGCCGCGTGACTCTGTCATGACCCTGTCTGCTCTCTTGAAGAACGGCGCAGCCTCGTTTGGCTCAGCGTGGAAACCAATTCGCTGCATGTCTACATTGCGTCTCGGTGCGACCCACCACATCATTGGTGAGCTGTGCAAACTAGATGGGACACAGAGCCAAGAAGTGAGCAAAAGGAGCTGCTCCAAATGCCACGCAGTTCCGGCTTGGCCTGGCGATCGATTTTTCTCTCTACATATTTCAAACCAAAGGGCAATAAGCCCCGAAGCGCTGAGAAGTCTTTCGGCCGCCAATTAAGCGAAAACTCTTGCGGGGCAAAGCCCATCGCTCCAACTTTCACATCTTTCACTGCCTTGCCGGCCTCAGCCCCGTCCCTCCGTCCCTCCGTCCCTCCGTCCCTCCGTCCGTCCGTCCCTCCGTCCCTCCGTCCCTCCGTCCCTCCGTCCCTCCATCCCTCTCGATGTCTCGAGCCGGCTCGGGTGCGAAACGAGGTCCCCGAAACGCCTCGCCGCAGGCGATGCTCAGCTGCAGCGCGAAGGCCTCCTGCGCAAAGCGCTCCGCGTCCAGCCGCGCCCGCGCCGCCCGCGCCCGCGCCGCCCGCGCTGGCCCGGCGCGCGCGGCCTGGTGCGCGGCGAGCTTGGCACCGGGCCCCGCAGCTTGGACGAGGCCCAGCTGCAGCGCGCCCCAAACGTCCAGCACCGCGTCCTCCAGGTACAGAGCCATGGCCTCTGGAGTCGCGGCCAGAACGGCGCTCATCAGGATGCAGGGCACGGCGCCCCGGGACAAGTTCCCCAGCGAGAAGCTGGTCTCCTGGTCTGCCAAACGCCAATCCGCCACCAGTGCCATGGCCAAACCCCCACCTTGCACCAGGCCCTGCAAGGCCACAGTCAGCAGCCCCAAGCTCTCCTCACCCAGCTCCCTCAGTCGCAGCTGGGCCACGAAACCTGTGAATGGCGCCAACCCAAAGGCCGTCTCTCCCTCACGGATTTGTGCCTGCACATTTCCGCCCGGGCAAAAATGTGGCCCGCTACCTTGCAGCACCACACACTCAAGCCCTTCATACTGCCAGAAAACACTTACTCCGGTCCAAGAGTGTCTTGGTGCCCTCCACTCTCCAAGGATCTTGGGATGGCAACGCGCTCGCGCTGAGGCACCAACAGTCGTGGCCGACGCGTCTGCTTTAAAGCTTGTGGCCCTCCCAGGGCTGCCGGCCCGTGCCTTGAAAGCGGTGCAAGGGAGCATGCGCCAGCGTCTTGAACTCACCACCGGCACCGGCACCGGCACCGGCAGCACCGGCAACGGTGCGATAGCTCTGGCCATGATGGCAGTAGGGACGGTGACGGTAGGGACAGGGACGGGGCCTTAGGGTTTGGTCGGGAGTCAAACTTCTTGGCAACCTACCGCACTTTCGCCTCGCGCGTGGAACTTTTTAATCACCGGGCCATGCCAAAGGAACCGCCCGATTGCCTTCTCTTTCCGGCTCGGAGCCCGGCGTGGCTCGGCCCACTCCCACAAACCACTGTCTCAGGGGCTTGGGCGTCCCGGGCTTCCCGGGCTTCCCGGGCTTCCCGGGCTTTGCCCTGAACTTGTCGAAGTGATCGAGCTTCCAGTGCTCAGATCATGTGCAATGAGACCCAGAGGCACTGTAAGTTTCGGCTATGCTCACTGGGGAAGGTCTTATGTCCCTGTGAGTCTCTTTTTGATAGGGGAGCTTTGCCTTGCAGGGTGTCACCGAGTTATGGTAAAACTTAAGGGTTGCCGCACCATTGCAAGCATTGCACTTCAGTCACTGAGTCACAACCACGCGGCAGCCATACGGGGGAGAAAGATGTAACGCGGACAGGCTTGGAAGACCCTCTCGCCAATCAGATGGGGCATCAATGAATCAATGTCCTCCAAGGCGGAGACGTGAGACTTGGAGCCAATTTGGGGAGGCAAGCCAATTTGGGTCCCAGGGTCATACAAGCCGAGGGATGTGCACATTACACTGGCTGCACACCGCGAGGTCACGGCATAGCAAGGTTTGGACAAGGAATGAGCACCAGAGTGCAAGAGCCGGTTAACCGGCTAGATGCGTCATCAGGGTCTTTTCAAAGCACAGCGCGCGGGCCTTCTCACTTTCACCAAACCTCTAGGGATCCAATTCCTCCCAAAGAGGCTGAAAGGTCGAGGGGCACTTTGCGACCTGCACGCTCGCGCTCTCGGCACTTGGGGCGCTCGGGGCGCTCGGGGCGCTCGGGGCGCTCCTTCTGCGCGCCTTGCCTCGGAGTGGCCTGAGCCGTCGAACTGCCGGCCGCGCACTCGGAGCACTCTGAGCACTCGGAGCACTCGGAGCACTCGGAGTGACTTGTGCCAGTTGGAACCACTGCCGCCAGGAGCCGGGCAACAAGGCCAAGTGCGACACGTGCGACGAGCGCGACATCGCGTCATGCGATAGTCGGGCCCTCAGGCCGTGCCCAGTTTGAGCGCTGGTGCTACAATTCAGCATTTTCAACTGGGTCAGTGAAATACGGAAGGGCATCCCAGGCATCCTAGGCATACCAGAAGTCTTGTCACTGCGCAGCAAAGGTATGTCACACGTCTCTGTGCTCCATCTGTGATCCATGTAGATAGCCGACCAGCCTGGACAGGTGTGAAGTTTCAGGCTCAACCACATGCGGCACATGCGCATCCTAAAATGTCTTGGAGGCAGAGGAGGCAGTGACGTTAGACTTGACGAGAAAAACTGTGGGCAAGAACCGTTGTAAACAAGTTGAAACGGGGTTCAGTCAATGGCATGAAGAAGCCGTGGCGCTTGAATTCGAATGGTAATGCCAGAAATGAAACCTGCCGAAAGGGACATCTATCAACGAAGCTAAAGTCGTAGTCGTCGTAGTCAAGCTCTGGAAGCTGCAAAGCCGGGCCGGTGGTCAAGTCTCGTGTCTGGAGACACGATCCGCACGATGGCGTTCTGTGTCGAGTGTGCCGCAAGAGCTTCACTACAGGTGCTGTGACTTATGAAATGAGCTAAGTCGACTTGGCTTAGCGCAACTTACATTTGGCGATCGAAGTATTCTAACTTTCAGTTCATGGCAACTTATTTTCTGCGAGGCGATCGTATTGATCGCATTGTGCGTGCTAATTGCACTGTTTGCACAAACTGCTTTGCTCAGCCAGCCGGCGGTTGCGGTATGCCAGCTTGCCAAGACCACACGAAAGGCAAGGCTCTGCACGGGGTGGCTTGATCTTCACCACCCAAAGCTGCCACAACCATGCCAAGTCAACCTGGGCAAAGAACTTCAATCGCACAAATTTTACTGACCTCATAGTCGCAAGTCTCAAACAACGAGTCATGCGACTTTGACACGCGACGTCAGGGCGGGTCTTGCGATCATTGCATCAAGGGCAGGAAGGAAGCGAAGCACTGGTGCATCGGATACCGATGCCTCTGATGCCTTGGATGCCTCTGATGCGTCCATGTCGTGCCCGAGGCCTCAGTGCTAGCTGTGCGATCGCCGCGATCGGCGCACAGGACACAAAGGGCAGCGTGTGAAACGCCCACATATGACCTGCAAGCTTCAGGCAACCTGGCAATTTGGGCGCCGGCTTTGTGTCACGATGCAAGCTCTCTTCGGGCTTGTCTGCAGCCAGGTCACTATCACGCAGCTGTTTGTCTGATCCGGATCGTCAGTCTAACTGCTTAACTTGTTCACTTGCAGTGGAAAGGTTAGGATCCTGCAAGAGAGGCAGACCGGTCTCAAAGCCAACAGCACTCCGACTTGACGCAAGCTCATTGCGCTTTCCAACACGTCCGTCTCTACTCGTCCATGCGGTCCATGCGGTCCATGCGGTCCATGCCCGAGCCCATGAGTGCAGTCGCCAAGGCCCGGAGCTGCTTCAGCGCCGGAAGCGGCGAGTCTCGCGCTTCGGGGCTGAGGCTTGCTTTGAAAGCGTCGAGAGCTTCAGGCCCAGGCGTCGCAGGCACAGATCAGGCTTCAGAGCCGGAGCTCCGTGGCCGCCCGCGCCGCCACCCCAACGCCAGATTTATCTTCGATATATTCGAACGCACCGACCCAAACGCGCACGGCACATGACATGTTTCTCATGAGACCCCCAGACCTGGCGGCCTGGCGGCGGCCGCTGAGTCACGCATGCGCACGCACACATCCATGCAAGCGAATCTGGGCCCTCGGGGCACTAACAAAGCTCTTTCACAGCTCTGGCCAACAGTCTCGCAACCACGGGGCTGACTAGACTGGCAAGCGGCAAGCGCCCGGGCTGTTGCTCACACGGCAAGGCGGGCTCGGGGGGGAGCTCGGAGAAGCTTTCCAATGTCAAGTACTGCCTGTCTCCAGAGAACCCGGTCACTGACGTACCGATGCCCAGCGACTTCTTCGTCTCACTTTTTAAGTGTGCCACTTCGCTGGCTAGAATCCCCTGCACGTCCGTCATTGGGAGGAAGAGCTAACGGGCATGAAGCTGATCACCACCTGCAAGGATGTCCAAGGTGAAACCTCCACCAGAACAAAACAGGGCAACTAGGAAAGAAAGGAAGGGCAAAGAAAGGTTGAAAGAAGAAAGACATGTTGCAAAGGAATAGCGAAAGGCCACAAGATAAAACGAGAGAAGAAGAAGCAGGAGAAGAAGAAGATAAAACGAGAGAAGAAGATGCGTGGCACGGAAAAGATGTCTCTTTCGGCCTTGCCCACGTGCTTGGCGGACTGCAGCAGCCGGAAGGCCTCCACTGCCATCTGGAAGTCGAAGACCGAGATAGGCAACGTCGCCTCTGAAACCTCGATCTGGTTTCTCTTTCCGTTTGAAACGGCCGGAATTCACATCGATCGGTTCTGAGTTGAAATCCGAAGCGAAGGCCTGGGCGATGGCCCGCAGCTCGCTGGCCAGGGTGGGCCCCGCCTTCGCGGAGCGGGCGTCCAGCAGCCTTCGACTTCCCACGACTTCGCACGACTCACGACTTCGCACTCCCCAATTTTCGACTCGAAAGGCGAAGGCGTAAAGGAGCAAAGACGCAAAGCTGAGCCGCGTTTCGGGGAACGAGTCAGGATATCTCTAAGGGGCTCGCGAGCGCAGTCAAGGATCGCGGAATGCCAATGCAACTTCACTTGCGTCGATGTGGCATGGTGGCGTAGAGCAGGTCGCTGCGGAAGCGCCGCACCGCTTGGGCCGACCACACCTGAAAGAAATCTCTCGCTTCGAGATGCTTCGAGATGCTTCGAGGCTTCGGCCCTGAGCTTCCCGAGCTCCACGGCGCGGCCCCCCGGCGCCAGCACCGACAGTCCTCTCTCCAACGACACTTCCGACATTTCCGACACACCTCCGACAGACCTCCGACAGACCTCCGACACCTCTCCTCTCCACTCGGCTCAGCCCGCCTCTGGGGATGAAATCGTCGTGGGTCAGCTGTTGACCACCAAACTGGCACAGTGCAGATCGAAGTCCAGAAAGAACCTGACCAACAAACACCTCACGCGAGTCCTGATCCAATATCACCTAGACGGCCAAGGCACGCGTGCCCGGATCGCGAGCTGGACACGTTGGAGACTCCAGAAATCCGCAGGAAGCACTGCTTCTTTGCCTTACTTCCCCCCTCTCCGCCCTCCCTCACTTCCGTCACCTCCCTTCTCTCACCTCAACCAACTCAAAACTCGACATCCTGCAGAACATCCCCAGTCTCTCCTTTTCCTTATCTCCCTTCTCTTGTGTCTCGCTCATGGCCCCCAAACTCTCAACGCCTCCTCTTCGGATGTTGGCATGACAATGGTTGACAAGCCTTAAGCAACCCGACAATGCTATGCAGTATCAGTAAGAACACATCCTCCATTGCCCATAGAATCATGTATTCCTGCCTCTGGATCATATACATGTACAACCACTGTAGATAGCATGTCTTGCCATTATCTTATTCCCTTTTTTTTCGATTTTATTTCATTCTGCTCCCTCCCTTTCCTGCCCCCTTTGTCCATTCTTGCTTTCCAAGGATGGTCAGCAACTGAATCGGTAAACCTTACTGAGAAGGCGATAAGCTCGAAGAACCCTCGTCACAAAACATCGCCCACACCACCCCACGTACAAGTTTTCCAGATTTGCGGCTTGTGCATCTTGCGAGCTCTTTTCCTCTTCCAGTTCCTCTTTCTTTCTTCTCAAGCTCCTCTTTCGTTTCTTCCAAGGGGCGGAGCCGGCGGTGGCCGCCACCCGCGCCCCGGCCCGGCGCAGCGCGGCCAGCCCGGCACAGCCCGTGCCGCCGGCGCCCGCGTGCAGCAGCACCAGCTCACCCGGCACCACCCGTCCGAAGCTCACGGCGCTGGCCACCGTCCTGAGAAAAAGGAGATGGCAATGAAAATCAAAGGAAAAAAAGGACAAAGGAAGAAGAAGAAGAAAAACAAAAAGGAAGAAAAGAAGAAGAAGAAGAGAAAGTTGGAGAAGGAAACAGAGGGAAAGGAAGGGTGGCAGCCTTGAGGACAGAGACGTGTGCCCGTAACTTCACCAGGCACATCAAGCTTTGTCCGCCGTACTGACGAACAAAAGGGGGCCAAGGACTAGAGAACAGGCTTAGGTCCTTCCAGAGTCTAGTCCGAGAGGTCTCCTGTCTGAGTTGTCTGAGTTGGAGGGTCTGATACCAAGTATTTTGTCAGGGAACAGGCTTTGCAGGCTTTAGACTCAATAGAAATTCATGTTGCGAGGCGTGCGTAACACTCCTTTGGCAGATCCACGCGCACTTTGGCCTTTGGCCTTGCGCTGCGTTCCAATGGAATTTTCCCGACACATGCGTAAACCAGGAGCTTTGCAAGCACCTAAGCTCCTGTCAAAAACTAACACAGCACAACAGACGGATCAAATATTCGCCTTGTGGCACGTGCTTCTCAGAGCGCACTTGGCGACACAAAGCGTCGGCAGTAGCCAGCTAGGCCGCGTCTCTCATTCAAAGCCTCTGGTTTCGGCATCGTGCAGCATTCCGAAGCAATGGCTGCAATGTTGTAATTCCTCCGCACCAGGACTCGCTGAGCTCAGCTTGCAGGGCGCTTTGGCTGGCAGGCGAAAAAGCGGACTGAACATTTTTCAGACGCACAGGGAGCAATTGAAACGTTGGAGGGGTCCGTTCAGTCAGAGTACACGAGAAACTGAATCACAACGGCAGGTATGCTCCGATTCGCCCTTCGGAATATCACAGCAACGCGGCGCTGGTCTTCGTTGGCATGAGTGACCACTGTGTGCTCCCATTCCCCCTGCTTGAAATCGAATCCATCTTCCATGAACTAGGAAGGTTCACACACATATATATATATATATGTATATATATATATACGCACACACACACACACACACGCGAGCGCGCGCGTGCAGGAGCATTTTCCCGTCCCTGTTGTTGTATGTGTGCACTGTGCTCTGGCTGGAAAGGCCAGATTTGATGTGTGTGTGTGTGTCTTGACAAGAGACAAAGAGAGACAGGGAGCGAAGAGGAGGAGAACACAGAGAACATCCAAATAAAAGGCAGGCGAGCTATCCTGTCAAGGACAATATGCCAAGGATCAAAGAGACCGTGGGCAGGGACGCAGCTTGGATAAAATCCGTGGGTTTTGGAATCAGCGCTGCCAGCCAGGACTTGCCATCAATGAAGGACCTGAAATACGACGCGATCGATTCGGCAAAAGCACCAAAGCTGCTGGCCCGCCTCAAACTCCCTTCCGCAACCCCGAAGACCTCATCCCCGCCCTGCATCGTCGGTATGCTGCTGTCCAGAACGATGCCGGCCTGATTGCGTTATTCCACGCAGGCTTTGGGCAGGCTCAAGAAAGCAAATGCTGGCAAGCAGTTGCAAGTTGCAAGCAGTTGCAAGCAGTTGCAAGCAGTTGCAAGCAGTTGCAAGCAAGTCGTTTTCAGAAGCACTGCAGATCCCGATCGCCGCAGCCGAACTGATGCTTGTACTGGTCGAACATGGATTTCAGGGCATCCACGTAGGCAGCGTGCCACGTCACCAAGTCCTCCATCGTCGGCTCGGGGATCGTTGGCAGCTGGATCATCTTGCCGTAGACCGTGTGGAGACCGCCGCCCCTCGGCAGCAGAGGGAAGAACCACTTGCCCCAGAACACCGGCAGCACGAAGCCAAAACCTCAGAGACCCGGATTCGAAGCTTCACAAGCTCAAGAAATGAGAGGTCTTGAGAGGTCTTGAGAGGTCTTGAGAGGTCTTGAGAGGTCTTGAGAGGTCTTGAGAGGTCTCGTGACACCCTCCAAGACAAGGCGCGCTTCACGAGCCACAGATTTAAGGACCTCAGGCAAGTGCAGGAATAGAACTGGTCGTTCTCTCCGAAGGTGTAAGCCAGCACCAGGGAGTAGCCGTGCTGCAGCGCATATTTGATGAAACCCAGCCGGGAGTTGATGTAGACATTCTCCGCGCCGTGCTCGTGGATTGCCACATCCTCGCTGCCCCCCGGGATGATGCCGAAGGCCGTCTTGGCCGCCAGCAGCTTTTTCATGTTGCCCTTCGTGGCGGGGGTACACCTAAGCTGCGGCCCGGCCCGGCGGCCCGGCGGCCCGGCGGCCCGGCCCGGTGAAGTGTGAGTCGAGTTTCCTTACCGAGGCCTTCGCGAGGCCTTTCGCCGAGCCGACCTTGGAGCCCGAGACCCGAGACCCGCCCGAGACCCGGGACCGTCCCTCTCGCCGGAGGGCGCGTCCCACATCCGCAGGAAGGGGGCGAAGAAGGGCACCCGCCACAGCACCGGCGCCTGCACACCGTTGCAGTCCTCGGGGAAGCAGGCGGCCCGCGGCAGGAACAGCTCCGGGTGCTGGGCTTTGACCCTCAAGGCCCTAAGCCGTCATTTTGGAATTCAAGATTCTTTTGTTTTAACGCAAGACAAAAACAAAAGAACGTCGGTTGTCTTTGCTGATTCTTTCACGTGGCAAAAGTGTGCCAAGCTTGGCCCAGCGTCCCGTTGAAGCTGAAGCCCAGTGGCAGAATGCCGTGAGGATGAAAGCACACCCTCAGCTCAAGCGAGAGACGCTAAAGCACCAAAGCCTTAAAGCACCAGAGCACGCAGACCGGGCAGCCAGGGCACAGGTAGCCGCTGTCCTGGAGGCGCTTCATGATGTCATCGGGCACCCACACGGTGGCGCCTCCCACGCAGGCGGCGCTCCGCAGATAGAAGCGCACGAAGGCTGGGCAGTGCCTCACCGGCGTGGGCCGTTGCGTCGATTCTAGGGAGGGCCACGGAGTCGTCTTTTCATTCCATGACTCATGACCATCATATTGACGTCTTGTGCAGATGAAATGACGCCGACACTGTGACAAGGGTGCCGTGCCGTGCGCGCCTCACGGGCGCCAGCACGGTGAGGAGGGCGATCAGCGCCAGCAGCGCGGCGGCGGTGGGTCGACCGGAAGCTGCGAGCAGCGGCAGCAGCACGGGGCTCAGCGCGCCCAGCTGCAGCGAGCCCCACACCAGGCAATGCGCCACCGCCCCCTGCACGTACGCCCAGCTACACGTCGGCACATCGTAGATGCAGTGGCTGTGCATCTGGAGTTTGAAATGAAACTTGAAATAATTATTCTATGTTTAAATCTCATCGATATGTGCTGAAAGGACCAATTTGAGCCAGTTGTTCACCTCTCCTTTCTCGAGTGTTCTCTTCTTTCATGGCGCAAACTTCGGCTCTCACAAAAACACATTGCACTCCTTTCGGCACTGAGCCGAAACTGCGAGAGATGCTCGAAGGCTCCATGCACTGAGGCACCCCGGGGCACCCAGCAAAATCGCTGCCCGGAAGATTTCCGAGCTGAAGCACCGCCCTGAGCTGCTCGCAAACGCGATTCAGCTGGTATCGCGCAGTTTAGCGGAGGTGACTTCGAGTCTTTTCTCACGGCACTTCAGACTTTCATGCGCCTGCCGGCGACGGTGCTGGGCATGGCCCCCATGGCCTACAGCGATTGAAGCACCCAAAGAGGAAAACAGAAAGCGTGACATGCAGCCTGGATCACGTCAAAGAAGTTCAGCGCCACGGCCATGGTCCTCACGTCTTTGGGCAACACAGGCTGGCCGGTGCGTTGGATCCCTTCAACGACCCCCCTAGTTTTTCAGCGTCGGTAAAGGACTGCGAATACCTTGCGCGTGAACATCTGAACATCTGCCTTGCCAAAGTCTCCTCACCAGGGCTTCTCCATCGGGCACTTGCGGGCGTGGGCACGGCGCCGTGCCCAACGAGAGATCTCGAGCCTTCCGTCTCTCTGAAACCGCTGGCCTTCGCCTGTCGCCCGCACCCGTTGCGCCCGCGCAGAACGCGCCCGACGCGCCCGACGTGCCGGACGGCACGATCTTGCTTGCAAAGCTCAGCTTGCCCGACGGCGAGTCCCGGAGTGAACGGGTGGCATATGCACCCACGCTGAGGTGCGCTGGCTGCCAATTTTGCGCGCCGCCGGCAGGATGGGCAAGACTCTGTGCATTGCTGTCATGCCTGCCTGCCACCACGACCAGCTTTGCCAGGCTGTCAAGCGAATGAGGGCGCATGATGCAAGCAAAGCATGCAAGGTGCCAAGTCTTCGATACGTCTGCTTTCCACAAATGTCCTTGCGGGCACGGCTTCGGCATGCAAACCTCCCTCGCAGCAAGGCGTTTTAGCAGACAGTGCTACTGGGGTCACTTGAGAAGTTACTCGAGGTCGCCCGTGCTCATCGGGTCACAAACGGCTCACAAACGCCTCACCATCGAGCTCCGGAAACTCCGGGAACGCACCGAATCTGGGCCTTGGGCGCCATGGGCGCCAAGTTCAAAAGCTTCATGGGACCCTTCGGATTCTTGGGGCTCTCGGCAACTCGCGGCAGAAAATCTAATGGCCCCAAGGACCCGATGGCAAGCGCTGGAGTGCGCAGCTTCTCCCAAGACTCCGGAACAACTCGGGCCAGGAGCCGTGGCTCTCTCCTGCCTCGCCAAAGAACCTCCCGAGCTCTCAGGGCAGCCAGCCGTGCAAGCCGAGCACCGTTTGGCGAAATGAGCCCACGGGCAAGCCAGGGACTTTCTCCCTTAATCTCGGTCCAATCGCTTCATGACACTTTGGGCCGTCTCACTGATGTCTCTTGGGCTTGCAACATCAAGGGGCAAGAGCAAGCACGGCCTTCAACACAGCCACATGACCTCCTCGGGTACGGCAAGTACGGCAAGTACGACAGGTGCAGCTCTCCGGCTCAAGATCGTACAGCAGCAGCTCAGCTCTGAACACACCGTGCACTCCAAAGATCCCGAACTGCCACACCCGGTACACGGCACGCCGCAGGCACGCTGGTGGTGCTAGCAGGGGCCGTTCTTGCAGGGGTCGCCAGTGATGCCACAGCAATGGCTTGACTCTCAAGTACTTAACCTCGGAGCTTTGGAGAGCACCTGGTACGACCCAGAACACCTGCGCATGTTGCATCTTTCCCTTTCGCTCAGCTGAACCCTCTCTTGCGCGCTCCGGCCGCATGTGTGGTACACACCACACAGGGCACGGCCTCATGTGCCACACGGGCCACATGAGCCATGCACCCTGTCGAGGGCACAGCTTCAGCATTCGCTGCGCAAGAACTCTTCCACGGAAGTTCGAGGTCGCAGTGGCAGTCGAACGCAAGTCAGGCCGCTTCCGTGAGACTCCAGCTCTGGCTCCAGTGGCAGGTTGGACTCGTTGGACTCGTTGCACTCCAGGCTGTCCAGCAACACGGTAGCCAGCTGCGTCTGCCACGCTTTCGGCCGCCGGAACCTGCGCCGTCTCTCGGAGAGAGGCAGACCAGGCAGACCAGGCAGACCAGCACCCACGGCGCGCACAACTCGGAGATCTAGCCCCAGCTTGGGTTCTTTGGCACACGCCGAATTGAGAGAATCCAAGGGCAGCTCAAAGTGGGCCCTAAGCTGTGCCCTTGGCGACTTAAGCACGACGCACTTCACATGCGAGGAAGCGTTCAAACATTCAAACATTGCACATGCATCCCTAAGAATGGAGCCACTGTGCCAAGTAAAGCTGCAGCTGCAGGAGCTACGGACGAGACGGAGGAGCTTCTTGTATTGAATGTCACGGCCAATGGCGTCACCTCCAAGCTATGGCGTGCTCCAGCCCGAGCACTGGACTCCGTCACTGTCCTGAGCTGGACAACAGAATCAGAAGAATTAACATGCCAGTCCAATCCAAACTGTGACTTGTCTAGCTCTTTCAGGGGCGCAAAAGCAAAGCCGAGAGTCGTGAGCTGGCAGGGGTTGATGCCCGCTCCATGAGGTACCGCATGTCAAGCGAGAACTCTTTCTCCATAGCGGCACTGCACGAGGGAGCCATGGTCAGAACGATTTTGCCTCAGCAACGTACCAAAGGCATCTTTGGGTGGAAGACTTGCGCGCACGATGGCAAGATGCACAAGGCTGCGGACAAGATGCCAATGTGCCGCGCTTGCTGAAACATCTTCAAAGCATCAACCACCTCATTGAAGGAGAACAGGGTCAGCGGCAGCAGACCTTGGCCCTGGCCTTGGGGGTCAGGAGTGAGACTCAGAGAATCAGAGGGTCAGGTACCGTGTACGGTGTATCCACTCTGGGGCCCGCGCTGGCCCTGTCGGCCGTGGCTCTCAGCTCTGTCAGCAACGTGCAAGGCGCCTGGAGGGCCCAGGAACTTTCAAATCAAAAGGCTAGAAGACTACGTCGGGACGCTCGGTGAATCCCTCTCAGCCCTCCCAACCCCCAGGTCCTCACTTGTGCGTCGGTCCAAGAGAAGTGCGGCATACTGTACGTCGCGGCGCATAGCTGCAACTTCTGCTGCTGACCAAGCCTGGCAAGCCGAATCTGTCAGAATCTCTGAATCTCTTCTCTCTCTCTCTCTCTCTCTCTTTCTCTTCCTCTTTCTTTCTCGTTAAAATCGGTTGTTACTTTGCTTACAAGTGCTAGTGCTGAGTGTTCAAACAAACAGTCAACCGATGTAGTCTGCAGCTGCCAACCTTTTTCACTCATGCGAAGTAGTGAGCCCAAGGCCTGCAGTAGTGAACATACATGCAACACAAATGCAGGAAGTGAAGCATGTAGTTTGACACGGCCCCTCAGTTAAAAGGTCTTTGTAATACCTTTCCAACTGAGGCGCAAAACATGGATTGACAGTAGTGATGAAAACCATTGTTGTTCATCAAATCAAGTCTACTGTATTTGCAAAAGTAGTGACCTGCGCTCAGTAGTTCACGCTGTTCAGGTTCCAGCTCGATGTAGGGCGCTGGATGGAAGTAGTGAGGCAGGCACTCGTTGTAGTGGAGCATGAGCTCAAAGATGTAGTCCCCATTTCTGGGCGCGATAGTCTTGGACCATCTGGAGTCTGTGTTGTCCAAGGTCGCGTAGTAGTGTATGGTGAAAAATGTTGTCATGTAGTTTGGAGCTCCCCGTAGTCGCTCGTCGTCTATCTCAGGGCACGACATGTGTTGGTCGTACTCCCTGAGAAAGCGGTGTAGTAGTGCTTTGTGATGTTGAGTGAGGTTTGTCATGGTGAGTAGTGTGAATCCGTAGTACTGGATACTCTTGCAAAGGATGGTAGTACTTGCTTTGTGCTGAAAGTCGTGTAGTTGGTCTCTGTTGTAAAGGTAGTGGAGTAGTTCAGGTAGTGGTAGGGGCATGTGGTAGTTCCAAAGGTAGTTGTTCCTGAGGGTGTAGTTGTCGGTGAAGGTGGTCATGTTGTAGTTCACCTTGTGGATGGTCTGTGGAATTGGTGTGGTTGGGAGGTAGTAGTTCTGTTGTATGGACATCATGTAGGAGATGTAGTCCCTTGTGAACTGTAGAATTTGTCCTGAACTGAGGTACCTCAGGAGTAGTGGTTGTTCAATCTGGAGTTGGATGATGACGTAGTTGGTGTTGTCGCTGGTTGTAGTGTGGAGTGAAGTCGTGTGGTAGTAGTGGACGTTGGCTGCTTCAGGTAGTGAAACGCTGAGCAGTGTGGAGTTGTAGTGGGGCATCCGAAGGTCTCCAGGGATGCAGCGAATGGGTCGCGTGTAGTCCAGTTGTGCCAGTGGAGTTGCTTGTTGTTGTGAGAGTAGTTGGTACTCTTCAAGTGTGAGTGCAGTGAAAAACTGAGTGTAGGGTGTGTTGTCGGGCAAAGGTGGTGTAGTGGTTGTCTGGTGCTCAGTGATGTGTAGTTGGTCCATCACTGTGATCGGGTTGTAGTAGACCGTGTTGCCAGGTGTAGAATGGTTGAAGTGGTAGTTGGAGTCGTTGTAGGTTTGAGGTGGTAGAGTTCCGTAGTCACTGGAGTCCGTTGTGACCGCCACCTCAGGTGTAGTTGCCCTGTCGGGCGTAGTGGCGTCTCCCATCGTAGCATCTGCAGTAGATGGAGTGGGCATGGCTGCAGTGGAATTCAAAATGTAGTGAAACGGGGCCAAAATAAAATGAGCCTAAGTAGTTGCTATCAGGCAGGCGGCGCATGCAGACATGTAAAACAAACAACTGTAGTGTTGACTCAGCCGCCAAAAGTGCAAGTGAAATACATGTAGTTACTGTTACTTACATACCAAAGGTGTCGTGTTACATGTAGCTACTTAAATACAAGAAATGTCCAAAGTCGTTGTTGTTGTTGTGAAACTGCTGCGCTGGTCGTTCGTAGTGCTAAATGCGTATCCCAATGCTCTGGATGAGCCTGTGTAGTGTTTCTTTGCTGATGTAGTTGGTAAACAAATCTGCGCTGTTGTGAAGTGTGTTGATCTTAAGGATTCTAATGATGTCGTGCTTGATGAGGTCTTGTGTGTAGAGAAATTTGAGGTCGATGTGTTTTGCTCGTTTGCTAGTGCCTTGCCGTGTAGCAATGCTCTTGCCTGCTGTGGAGCCTGTGTGGATGCGTAGGTTTAGCTTGCTGCAAATGTTGGTTTCAAGTAGGAAGTTTCTGAGGTGTAGTCCCTCATTAACTCCTGTGCAAATGGCGTAGAGTTCAGACTCTGCTGGGCTGAGTGCTATTGTAGCTTGTGTTCTGCTGCCAAACGCAACTGTTGTTCCTAAAAAGAGGATGTTGTTGGTGTTTGCTCTGAGTGTTGTTGTTGGTTCTATGGTGAATTTGTAGTGCTTGGCGCCGTGCAAGTAGCGTAGTAGATGCTTGACTCTCTTTTATGAAAGTTCTGTAGGTGCTGCGAGGTCTCGTGCTAGTTCTTTTGTGGAGTATGCAATGTCTGGTCGTGTGTATGCTAACCATTGAAGTTTGCCAACAATCCTTCTGTACCTTTTGTGTTGTTCGTGGTCAAGTAGTGCTTCATCTTCTACTGTTGGCTTGTGGTGTGCAATTCCTGGATTGTTCACTGAGTTGCAGTTGTTCATTCCAGACTCCTCGATCATGTTGTCGATGTAGGAGTCCTTTAGTCCAAGATTGCAGTAGTTGCCAAAGTGGTCGATGTTTCTTCCAAGAAATTGTTGTGGTTTGCCAGGTTGTAGACGTTAGGTTCTGACTTTAGTCTTACAAAGCTGAGCTTTTGTAGCACTTGAGCCAGGTAGTCCTGCCATGCTTTTGGTGAACTGCGTAGTCCACACATGGCTTTCTTTAGTCGCCAGATTTTGTCCTGTTGTGGACAAAGTTCTTTAGGTGGCCAAAGGTAGACGTCACGTTGTTTACCGTCGTGGTCTTTTGCGATGGGTGCGTGTAGAAATGCTGTAGAGACGTCACCTAGTCGCGCGATCCAGTTTGGTCGTGACATTTGTAGTGCGAGAAGTGTCCGGAGTGTCGTGAACATTGGTGTAGAGGCGTAGACGGAGTCTTCGTCCTCGATCTTCTCTGTGTAGCCTTTTGCGACGATTCGGCTTCGTACTCCTGGTCCTTTCTTTCTATGTACCCATCTTGTAGGTATCGCTTCTCTGATGACGTTGTCGTCGACGTTAGACGCATCTACTTCGTCGTAGACGTCATGTAGCTTCATTTGGTTTGACTCGTGTTTCATTCCTTCCAGTAGTTGTGTTTCGTCGTAACCTTCGTTGTCGAAGATTATGGGTTGGTCTTCTGAGGTGTCGTCGTTTGTGTAGGGTGATTGTTGTTTCTTGTAGTTGTCTTGGCGTCCTTTGCCTTGAACGCAAATTGGACACCAGTTTCTGTATGGTAGGTGTAAGATTGTGTTCTGCTATTTGTTGTGGAGTGGGCTGCTGTGGCTGTCGTAGTCCTCTTGCTCTGTGTGCTTCATGATGCTCGTGCTGTTGTTCCTCATCGTGGTTCTCCTGGATGTACTCGTAGTCTTTCTTCACGGTGAACCTTGTTGTTCCTTTCCATTGAAATGGTAGTGCTGCGTTGCCCATGACTGTCCATTCATCTTTGCGTTGTGAAACTTCTCCAAAGTTGTTGCGAGTGATTGTAGTTCTGTGAGGCTCAAGTGTGCTGATTGGTGGATGTCCTGGTCCATCTGTTGGAGTGAATAGAGTTGTTCTAAGTGTTGTGTGGTGTCTTGTCCAGTATTCACCTTGTCTTTCCCAGTAGTCCAGTTGTCCTCCTGTGCTGTGAGTGGTCTGTGGATTGTGTCCTTTGGTTGTGTGGTGTCAAGATTTGTAGAAGGTGCTGCTTTAGGTCTCCATATCTTTTGTGGTGCTCGTAGTTGGATCTTTGGTCTGGTTGGTGGTGTCCATTAGCCGTTGTGGTTGTGAGCTCTGCCTTGTTGGTGTGGTCTTTGGTGTTGCTCTGCGTGTAGGTGTTATCTTTCTTCTGAATCTGGTTTCTCCAGTCCAGTTGTCACCTTCTAGTCTTCGTTGTAGTTCTTGCTTGGAAAGTTGTGTTGGGTTCTCTTGTAGTTGTTCTTGCTCTTGTCTGTTGATGATGGTTAGTCGCCAATCATCTAGTTCTCCTTCAGGTATTGGGCAACCGCTGTTGTGTGGTGTGAACAATGCTTTGCGTGGTCGTTTGTGTACTCTGGTAGCGTAGTCACCATCAAGTTTCCAGTAGTCAGTGTTTCCACCAAGGATCTGTCGTAGTCCTTGGTCTGTGTGGGTGAGTGGTGCAATTTGTTCTTGTTGTTGTACTGTTTTCTCTGTAGGTTGAATCACAGCAATGGATTTTCCATTGTCTGTAGTCATTGAGTAGATGTCGAATCCTGTAGGGATGTCGATCTTCTCTGCTCGTAGGTAGAAGAGTCCTGAGTGTCTTATGAGGTGTGCTTGTTGTTGTCCATGTGTGATGGTGCAGTGTCGTGGAGTGAAGTCAAGTCCATATCCTCTATCAAGTAGTCTTGATGCACTGAGGATTGGATACTTCACATCACAAACGTAGTAGGGTATCATGATCCTGAAGTTGTCCTGCTTGTAGGGAACGTACTTGATGCCGTAGACAGGAATCTTCTTGTTTGTAACCGTGTAGAGTTGTGGAACTGATTCTCCACAATGTCGTAGCGGTAGGTCTGGTGCGTAGTCCTTCGGGCAAACATGTGTAGATGCTCCTGAGTCGAGCAACAGGTGGTGGTATGACTTGAACTTGGAGTACATGATGTAGTGTGTGATAGTGTCCTCAATCTTCTTGTTCCTTTGTTGTTGTCTTGCTGCTGCTATGTCGAAGTGTGGCTGTGTGGCGTCTTCTTGTAGGAATTGTTGAAAGCTCTTGCTGTGGTCGTTCCATGATGTTGTGTGTGTTGTTCTCTTGCCAAGTAGTGATTTGGATTTGTGTAGTCGTGAGTTTGCTTGTCTGATGTGTCCAATGGTAAGGTGTGACTCGTTGATGCCTCCAATGTAGTTTGCTGTGTCCTCATAGCTGTTGTCATTCCAATCCCAGCTGTTGTCATAGTCGTAGTCGTTCCAGTTCTCCTCCATGTAGTTCACCTCGTGTTGTCCTTCTTCTCCTTCGTAGTACCAGTCCCAAGTGTCGTTCACATCCTGAGGTAGTTCTTCATTGTTGTCATGATCTGCTTGTTCTTGTTCTAGTGGATGTAGTTCTTCTCCTTCTCCTATGTGCCATACTGGCACTCTGCAGTCTTGTGCCCAGTGGCCAGGCTTGCCACATCGATGGCATGTTGTGTAGTTGTTGTTTCTTTTGTTGTTTTTGATTTGCTGTAGTTTCCTTGGCCTTTGTAGCCTTTGCTTGATCCATATCCTTTGGATCCTGAGTAGCCTTTTCCTTTGCTCTTGTTGTATCCTCCTTTGTTGTAGTTTCCTTTGCTGCCTTTGTCGAATCCTTTTTTTAGTGTCCTTTACTCCTGTACTTGCCTTTGCTCTTGCTTCCTGTGTAGCTGCCTTTTCCTTTTCCTTTGCCTTTGTAGTTTCTTCCTTTCCTCCATATGTTGTCAACATCCATTGGTGCGGCTCCTCCATTGTAGTTTGTTCCTACTGCTGAAGTAGATCTAGTGAAGGCTGAAATCGTCTTGTAGTAGTCCAAGATGAGTGCTCTGATCTCGGTGTAATTTGTGATCTGTCCAGCTCGCAGTTGGAGGTGTTGCTGCAGTGCTCCTTTGGTTTTGTTGAGTAGTATTGCTATTTTGATTCCATCTGGTAGTGCTGTTCCATTGTCTTTCTCGTAGCGGTTGATGTCGTATTCCCATTGTAGAAATTGTTCTTCAAACTGCGCTTCGTTGAATGTAGGTTCCAGTAGTTTGGTAAGGTAGCCAACGCTTCTTGTTCCTACTGGTAGGCTGAACCTGTTGTGTAGTAGTCGTAGTGTTTCACATCCGTTTGCGTTGTAGCGGTTTTGCCTTACTACTGTAGCTGCTGCTCCCTGACAGATGTTGATGAGGATGTAGTGTAGATCTCTGGAGAGGTCTACTGCTTTGCTTGCTTGTGTCGGGTCCCGTATGTGTGTTCTGATGTCTGTGTCCTCAATCTGTCGTGTAGCCACTTGTGCTAGTTGTAGCACCAGGTCGAAGTCTCGGTCTATGAGGCCGAGGTATGCTTGTAGCTTGAACAGCCATTCTTTAACTGGGAGTAGTCACCAGTGAAGAAGGGTGGTGGCAGTTTGTATCTATGTAGTCTCTGAACGTCGTTGTCTTGTTCTGTTCCTGCTCCCGTAGTTGTGGCTCCTACCGGGTCTGCTGTTGGCCCGTTCTCTGCTCCTGTAGTTTGTTGTGCTGAGGCTGATGCTGCTTCTCCTGACATGTCGTAGTAGTTTTGCATGTGACTGCTGTTGCTGTGGTTGTAGTACTTACTGCTTGCTGGAGCTCCCCTATGTTTAGGATCTCAGCTCCGCTACCACGTTAGAATCGGTAGTTACTTTGCTTACAAGTGCAAGTGCTGTAGTGTTCAAACAAACAGTCAACCGATGTAGTCTGCAGCATGTAGTTTGACATTCTCTTCCTCTTTCTCTTTTTGCTGCTCTTCTTTTCTCTTGCTCTTCCTGTTGTTCCGAGTTTTCTGCCTTGAGTTTGCCCAGCTCCAGGATCCGGCCACCCGGCACCAGCACGGTGAGGCTGCGCGGCACGAAGTCGTCGTGGGTCAAAGAGTTCAGCACCGCGGCCACGGCCGGGGCCACGACCGGGGCCGCGAAGTCGAAGTCGAAGAAGTCCAGCAGAAAGCTGCGGCCGTGGCGGGACGGCGCCACCAGGCGCAGCCCACGCAGGCGCAGGGCTTGGGCCTTGGCGGCCGAGGAGGCCGTGCCCAGCACCTGGGCGCCCAGTCGCCTGGCCGCCGCCAGCGCGGCCAGACCCACACCCCCGGAGGCCGCGTGCACCAGCAGCAGCTCCCCACACACCAGGCGCAGTCCGCCGGGTCCGAGTCCCACAGCCACGGTGAGGCTCACCGTCGGCAGCGCCGCCGCCGCGGGCGCCGCCACGCTGCGCGGGCGCAGCGCCACCGGCGACCCCGTCGTCAGGCGCTCTGCGAGGCTGGCGCCCAGCCCGAAGACGGACTCCGCGGACGCGGAACTTCCGCAGCGCAGCCCCGCGAAGTCGCTGCCACCACGGAGCTGCGGCACCGCATAGCCCGCCACCCGCGAGGGCATGGCGCCCAAGGCCTGCACCACGTCGAAGAAGTTCAAAGCCAGCGCCTCGACTCGGACGCTTCCACTCGAGGGCGGAGAGCAGGGCGTGCATCTCAAGCGCCCCAGGCCCGAGCCAGTCCCAGGATGGGGCTTCACGGGATTCACGGAGCACGCTTTGCATGCGAGAGCGCACCCACGAGGTGCTGACGCTATGGTGCTGAAACAATCACTTGTGATGGCAACATCCGGTACAACCGTCTGGGCCGGACTAATTCACCCGGGCAAAGACCCGAGCAACGCTGGCAGCCCACCTGGCAGGCCGCCTAGGCTTAAGCTGAAGGCTAGAGCAAGGTTTAAGCTTCAAGATGCCCCTAAGAGATGGGCTTGGCGGGAATCCAGCCTGTAAGTTCTAAAAGTTTTTATACCTACGGTCAAAGTCTGTGGCGCCGGTAAGGTCTGCGGCCAATGCTCAGCTTATGCTCTTTTTGAGCGCTTCCAGGCCAGCTCTGGCACACGTTTGGCCGGCACTGTCTTTGCCAGGAGGCAGCAATGGCTTGGAAGCGTCGACTGGCATGGCCTGGAGATTGCCAACACCGTCATGGTGCCGTCACGGTGTTGTCATGTCGTCACGTCGTCATGCCGTCATGCCGTCAGGCCACAGGGACTAGAGTCAGACTGGAGTCATGGAGTCATGGAGTCACAGGGACCCTGGGGACACTTTTCTAGTCGATGCGTGGCTCCGGTTGCGCTTCCTCAAGCTCAAAGCCCAATCGAACTGTGATCAGTTGGGTGAGCAGGAGTGCGTCTTGTATGGAGCCCAACGCAATTTGCTCACATCTGTTCATGGCAAAATCTGGGCGTCAGGTGAGCCCCTCAAGCCTCAGCGAGTCACTCAAACTCGAACAGCACTTCACTGCGATTCAAAAGCACTTCGCTTCAGCGGCTTGGGCTTCCGACTTTCCAGGGCTCGGCCTCGGAAAAAGCGTGCCTTCCGCGTGCCTTCCGCTTCCATTCCTCAACTCCCCCTGAGATCGAGGCTCGGAGGATCTGTGCACGACCCCCACATTGGCCCTTTGAAAAACTCCGAGCCAACGGCAGTGCAAGGCTTCAGGAAGAATTGCGCCAGACGCCAAGAGATGCTGCGACTTTTTTCAGCTAGGAAGCCTTGAGCTCAGTCCGCGCTGTGCACTTTGGCAGGTCGACACTTTGGGACGCTTCAGCACTTTCGACGGGGTGTTCCTGCAAAGCACACACCAAACTTTGACAATACCGCCAAGCCCATGCCTTAATACACGGCATGTGGGGGATTGACAATGGGCACCTCGGAAGATGGCCGCATGGCTCTCTCGTTTGTCTTTGTCTTTGTCATTTTCTGTCCACATGCGTTCGAAGCTGCTCCCGGGGGCAACGGCACGTTGCCCAAGGGCGTGACCTGTCGCATTGCACGCGTGCGCTCAGACTGGAGTCTGGAGTGGCCTGCAAGCCGGTTGGGGTGACGGTGACCAAATCATAGCCGGCTTCCTCAGAACATATTGCAGCAAGCCATGAGCACGTACCAAATTACCAAATGCCAAGCGGCCGTGGGGGGCAGCGGGCCCCGATACGAATGCCTCAGTGCGAAAGTGCTTTCATCACGCTGGCCGTCGCTGAAAGCTCCCCGCGGGCCAGTGCCAGAGCCGGTGTAGTTGCCGGCGGGGCCGGAGCCGTAGCCGGCAGAGCCGCCTTCCACCATCGCCTCTGGCGGCAGCGGAGGCATCGCGCCAGCAAACCTCAGCCACACTGTTGGCCGTCAGCCCATGACACCCTCTGAGTGGCGCGCTGTCCACCGGACATCAGCGGAAGCTGGCACACGAACTCTCACGCAGGCGGTGCAACTCTCCAACTCTCACGCACGGTTACTCAGTTCCTTCGGTCTGAAAGGGCCTGATCTTCTGGGCGCTCTCCGCGCTCATACCTGAGGCTCACAGACGTGGAAATCAAATCCCGTGTGTGAGAAGGAGCCGACAGCTGCCCCACAGATCTGAAGGTGCGATCCTCCTGCCGGGCCTGCCGCTGTGGAAAACATGAAAAGGGCACCAAGCATCAAGCACATGTGAATGCAATTCGAAGCCTCTGAGCCTGGCATTTCAAATCATTGATTGCATTGGTGTTACTCAAGCTTTATCTTACACACACGATGTACTTGCAAAGCTCCGGCTCTCCGGCCGGTTTGTTTAGCCGGGTACTAAGTCAATCGCAGGACTAGCCATGTGCTAACGTCTTAACCCGTACACGCCAAGCCTTTTCCGGGAGGCAGAGTTATGCGGGCTTGCTCAAGGTGAGGTTTGTCAGTTACGTTAGCTGTTTCAACCTGGGACCTCACGGGGCCTGACACATGGGGCCAGGCTTATGCGGCTTATGCTTGAGCACATTGTCATGCTTAAACATGACACCAGCCGGGCCGTCAATTGGACACAGATTGAAACAACCAATTCTAAAAGCGATTGACCCAACTCTGTGTTGAACAGAATCCAGTCCTGTCTCGTGCGTACTGTGTGGATGCGGGCTCACTCAATGCGCTTAGCGAATTCTCTAAACATCACAACCCAGCTGGAAGCTAGGGCTTTGATGTCTGCGCGTTTCCATCAAGTCTTGAGCCGTCTGAAATGTGAGCCCAACGTGCATGAAAGAATAGAGAGAATAGATATGAATAGATGTTGATTGAATGGAATGGCCGAGTTTCTTCTCCTTGCCTGGCGCTGGAGCTTCGTGAAGCTGTTGCGGGCCCCGAACCACTGAAAGGGCCTGCGGGAAATGATAAGAAATGCGACGCCGAGAAGCTCTCAGCTCTGGGTGTGTTCGGGGTGCCCGGGGTGCCCGGGGTGCCCGGGGTGCCCGGGGTGCCCGGCAGGAGCCCGTCCAGGCCCGGGCACCGCTTCACCTTGCGCTCAGCTCGGCACGCTCTCTGAGGCGCCCGAGCTCGCGGCGATGGGCACGTAGAAGTACCAGAGCCCGTAATTGCAAGCAGCACCTGCTACGGCCAATTTAAAGAAGGCTTCAAAGGCCAATTAGGTTCACACAGAAGCACAACAGCAGCAAGGCCCAGAGTAGAACCACCTCGCAAGGATTCAATCCTATAAGCATGGGAAGCCTGTGAATGGCATCTGACACAAGCTGAGAAGACAGCCCACCAACTGGTTCCTTGCATTGTGCAGCTGCAAAGGATTGCAATCAATCTTGGGAGCATCTCATGGTTGGGCTGAGGATGGGACCTGTTGCAATTTACAACATGGCTTCTTTGCGGTCGGTTGCGTTTCTGCATATCCAGAATGTCTACTGAGGCGCTTGCCCGAGTCCTTAGTCACAGTTGCGTGATGGAGGACAAGAGTAAAATGCATCGTAAATCTTCGGTCATCTTTTTGCTCCCTGCGATCAGTTTATCTGAAGCAGCTCAACCTCAAAGGACAGGTCCGAGTTTGGCGGGATGACATTGCCAGCACCGCGGGAGCCATATGCATAGTCTGAGGAAATGCGGAGGATTGCCTTCCTTGGACGAGCTCGAGTCGAACAGCTCACCAAACGCCAAAGCGCAAACATAGGTGCACCACTCATTCTGTATGAAACCTCATTGATTACAGGTGTTTTCCGTACAGGTAGTGCAACTTAAGCATATTCAGATGGGGGGTTTTGAGATTTGAAGGGCACTTACACTTCTCTGTTCGGCCCAGGCACTCACCAAGGCTCATCTTCGGCACGCCCTCGTCCCAGCCTCGAATGACTTGGCCCACTCCGATCTGTGTTCTGAAGGGCTGGCCCCGATCCACGCTGGAGTCGAACTTCTTGCCGTTGGTGAAGGTGCCGGTGTAGTGCATTGTCACCGTGTCTCCCTTCCTTCGGGAAACTAAAAAACAAAGGTGTTTCTTCATGACACGTGGCATGCCCGATGTCCCCCGATACACGTGTGCCGAGCAGCTTAGGGAAGCTCTTCCCATCACCTTCTCGGATGATCTCCTTTGTCACCCCGGATCGCTGGACAGCGGACACGTTCCGTGGCGAGAGGAAGCAGTTGGTCATCCAGCCCAGCAGCAACAACGGGATTAACAACAGCCATCGCTGCATCTGCATGAGGGGACTTTGGGCGATCGGGGCGGGTGCAAGTCCTCTTGAGCTCACAGCTGTCAGTCCAAAGTGCCGAATCTCGCTTGAAACTTACCCTTGCCCTCAGCCCCCTGCATCCAAATCATGGCACGAGAAGTCCTGGCGCTCGGCCCAAGCGCCCAAGCGCAAGACATGGACGGCCCGCAGCAAGTGGCGCACTCTGCGCACTCTGCGCATTGCTTGCCATGAGCACCGCCATCGCATCGCGCTTGAGCCCTGGGCCTTTCCGGTGACTTGCGCTGCAACGAGCTCCTGGAGCGGAGTCGCAAGTCTCGCATGCCTCTCCCAGTCTCCCAGGCTCGGCCTCTGAAATGGGGACGGCCGCGTTGCACGCACCCACCACGAGCGGCTCGTCCGGACAAGAGAGTGTGTCGCACGTGCCCGGGATGGGGTGCAGCCTGACACTCAGGCGGCAAGCGGAATAAAACGCCTCACAAAAGTCGCCGGCACGCGGTCATCCTTGGCACAGCGAGTGTCCTGCCTTGAAAATACCTCACTGAGCCCTGATTGCAGTCAAGCTTCATCCTTGTAGAACACCATGCCTAGATTCGGGATCCGTAGTACATCAGAATACATAATGATACATCTGGCAACAGCTCATGCCTGGCCTGATGAGAGCACCTTGTAGAAGCGTCGCTGGGGTTCCTGAGACACTCAATAGATTCCAAATTGCAAAGGCTCAAAGGCTCGGAGGCTCGGGCAGGCAGCCCTTCGCCTGCCCTTGCCATTGCCTCCTTCGCCGTTTCCCGAGCCATGGCTGCTGTGACGGGGGCTACGGTGGCGGGCACGGGCACGGGGGCCATGGGGGCTGCGGCGCGGGGCATTGGCGTAGTGGCTCCAGCGGCTGTGGCCGCAGCGGCCGTGGCTGCTGCGGCCGCGGCCGCGGCTGCCGCCGATGCGGGAACTGCTGGGGCTGGGCCTGGGGGAGGTGGAATGGTCACGGCTGCGGAAGGTGGAATGGTCGGTGCTGGGGCTGGGGGAGGGGGAATCGTCGCAGCTGGGACAGCAGGTGGAACGACTGCGGCCGGAGCTGAGGAGGTGGCTGCTGATGTGGTGGGGGCTGCGCTGGTAGCCTCCGTGATTGGGGCGACGGTGGTGGCTAGCACCCCAGCCGCCACCGGCGCGACCGGCGCGACTGGCGCGACCGGCGCGACCGGCGCGACGGGCGCGACCGGCGCCAAAGGAACCAGCACTGCGGGTGTCAGGTTGCCTTCAGTGCTACTTACCTCAGAAGCACAAGGCGGCGAGGTGTGCGCCACATTTCTGTGGCCATGGCTGGAGAGGGCGTGGCGAGTTGCACCTTGGACCGTCCCTTGACTCTTGCCGCTTGGACAAAGCCGAGGCCTGTGGCAAAGTAGGCTGCGAGGTCGTGGTAACCTCTGTGAGATCCTGAAGAATTCCGACTCTTGCCCTTCCCTTGAGCGGAAGCGGCCTGTGGCACTTCGCAAAGCCGCTGGATGTATTCTCCCGCCACCACCTGATGCAGTTTCAGAACTCGACTCGTGGCATTACCGAACAAGTCTGCGTGTGCATGCTCAAGCAAAACCCGCCAGCACGAGTTGCATGTGGATGGGAAGGGGCATCTTGGGTCTCAAAAGGGAGAACTCTTGCTGCGGAATCCTTGTCAAAGCCGAGGGCTTTTGGAGCCTGCATTTTGTGGTCAGAATCTGGGGCTCGCAACAGCCTGCGGTTTCCCAGATTCCGGTGGCTTCTGCACCATGTGGTAGGCCCGGCATCGCGGTCGGTCACCAGAGTCTTACTTCGTCTCAGCTGGTGGTTGGCTCTTTGTGTTTGAGCCATGATGAGCTCGATGACAAACTACAAATGGTCGAACGTATTGCGAGGTCTCACAGCCAAAAACAACCTAAAGAAAATCTGTCACGCACGCATTGCCTGTGTATTGAGGTTGCGTGGCAAACGCAGGGTACGAGTCGTGTAACCAAGAAAGAAATACTATCCCCAAGAAGTTGCACTGCAGGAATCTAGACGAAATGCACAGAGAGTAGCTTGAGTATCTCTGGCCCCCCCGCCAGCGCGGCGGCTTCTGTCATCTGCACGAAGGTGTCTTTGGTGGGCCTAGCGGACAGTTTCGCGCATGGCTTCGGGCCCAAAGCGACTTGCTTGGGGCGCGGCGGGTAGGCCAGCGCTCCCCGGAGCGGGTCATCAAACCAGCAGCCATCCTATAGGATAGGAAGTCTAACGGAAAGAATGGGAAGTGTCAGTAAGTGGGAAATAAGGTCACTCTTGGGCTCCCAACCCCGGTGGAGTATCTCCAAGCTTGGCAACGCAAGTTGGAGAGGCACGTGTGATTGCCTGGGCATATGCATTTACCTCTATCTTGAAAGGGCATACTGGGTCGCCCACACATCTTCACGGCCTTCAAACTTTCAAACTCTTTCAACCGGGGCGTGGCCTGGCTGCCTGGGCCACATCCAAGGTGTCACTCCCGAAGGCGTACTGAAGCCCCGAGACCTGGCACCGAGGCACCAAACCGCAGAGGCGCACGCGAGACGCGAGGCCTCGTAGCCCCGCAGGTCCTTCAGCACCTCGAGACTCGGAGACTCACGGCTCACGACTCAAGACGACCCAAAGTCTTTCGGAAGCCACGGCCCCCACCCGGTAGTGGCCCCGCAGGAAGCGTTTGGCTTTCACCACCTCGACCTGTCGCGTCGGGCATCGGAAAACTCTGAGTAGCGGTTTCGCTTGAAGCCGGCCGGCAACACAAGCTGAGGGGGAGATTTATGACACAAATGGCGCAACCACTCGCATTTGCGAGTGCTGCTGAAATTATCGGGGAAAGGAACACCGAGTGTCCAGATGGCCAGGTGGTCCTTGCCTGACCTTCCCGGAAGCAGTCGTAACCAGTGCCCTGCCAGCACTGGAGCCTCGAAATGGCAAACCGCTGCAAGCTGCCTCTGTCTAAGTCCCGTCCCTAAGTCCCTGACAAGCCGTTGGACTTGGTGATCTGGAAGCTCGCGCAGGAAGCGTTGCCCAGGCAGCTCCTGGCATCGATTCACGTCACTTCACGTCCCGCATTTCGACATGGGCGCCCCACGACTCGCAGTCGTCGTTCCTGGCGTCTCCGAATTTGGCGAATTTGGCGAGAAAGCGACGCCAAAGCGACGCCAAAGCGACGCCAAAGCGACGCCAAAGCGACGCCAAAGCGACGCCAAAGCGACGCCAAAGCGACGCCAAAGCGACGCCAAAGCTTGGCCAAATGGCCGGCGCCGCTCTTCCGGCACGGCGTGGAGCCCCAGACCTGAAGCTCCGAAGCTCTGAGGCTATCCGAGAGAGGCTCCAGGCCGAGGGCTGGGCACCTGCCAGGCCAGCCGGTGGCAGTGTCCTCCAAAACCAAATCGCAGACTTCCAACGAACTCCAGCGACTTCCCGCCCAAGCCTCCAGGGTCTCGATGGGCGAGCCCTTGCAGAGGGCCGGCTCCCCGGTCTGCGATGCCGGCCACATTGACCATGACATGAGCGCCGCGAGTGCCGCGCCGTGGCCCAGTGGGGCCAGCACTGCAATGGCACCGGAACCTCCGAACAAACTCAGCCGGACTCGGACTCGCTCGGTGCCCGGGGGGCTCACCATGCCGGAAGTGAAATCCGCGGCAGACTGCACGGGGCTGTCACCTGGATCTTCCAAAGCTCACCGCAGCTGAATAGCAATCGACTGCCTGGAAAGGACTGGCTCGGTGAAGCAGCGCATGCAGGAGACGCCTGCTGTGCCAAGAAATTCTCCGCGCAACACCTGAACAGCCCACCGCCAGCCCCGTCTGGAAGCGGCCCGCAACCTTAACTCACACTGTGCACGACAAAAGCTGCCCGCCCTGAGCCCACGACAGTGCATCTTGCAGGACCGGAGACGAAACTGTGCTCAAAAGCAAACTCCGAGGCCACGCAAAATGCACAGGCCGCACCTGCCTGTTGCCGATGGCTCTCTTCGGAACCTGCATCTCGGAGCCCAGCCAGCATTCCTGGCAATCTGAACGTGCCCAGCCAAGCGAGGTGAAACCGCCTGCCTGAAAGACGACCTGATACCCGAAGGTCTGGCAGCCGGGAATGTCCTGAGCCGGAATCAAAGACGACCCTACCTTCCCCATCATCGTGTCGGCGCCTCGCACATCTTTTGACATGCCAATACATCCGTCGCGCGGACCTCGAACGGACTTGATCCCCGAATCGCTGCATGCCGGCTGGGCAAGCGGCAGGGTTCTTGGTGCCCCAGATGGCTTCAGAGATCCTCGCACGCCCGAGGCCCGGGCTGGCTCCGGGCTCCCAACTCGCACTGGGCGCGGGACTTCCAGCCATAGAGGAAGCAGCCCAGAGGCACCTCGTCCAAATGGCAACTCAAGTACGCGCAGAAAATTGCCGTGCCTCGTCGGGCTTGGCCAAGGCTAAGGCGAACAGAGAGGCCAAGGCCAAGGCCTGGCGACCGCATAGACGTATATGGATATGGAGGCATGGCCCAACCTGCCAACCCGCCGCCATCATCCCCGGCGCCTGAGTGAACAAAAACGCTTTTGCTCCGGGCTTCCGGCCCTCCGGCTCGTTCGACTCCGCCTGGTGAGGCGCCGGTCAGAGCTCCAAAAGGCGCCGAGCTCCAAGCCGAGGGCTGCGGGACGGCACGCGACACTCGTCGGTTTCAGAGTCCCGAGAGTCCATGGCTATGAGGCTTTCCACCTTTTCGCGCGAGCAAGCCCATGCATTAACGGTCCGCGCTGTGTTTCACAGGGCGGGCTACGTATCACGTACAGTTTCAGTTGTTCAGCTCCCCGGGCCGGACCTCAGCCCCATTGAATCACATGATATCACATGCCCAAGCTGGCTTTCGGGGCCCCACCCGCCGCGGCTCGCTCGGGGACATGCTCCTCCGGTCCTGCACGAATTCCACACTTCGCGAAGCGACGCTCGCAGCGCTCCTTGGCACGTGCCAAAGACAGCTGGGGCCTCAGCTGGTGTTTTCAGGATTCTGCTAGGCAAGCGAGCTCGAGCGCCTGCTCAGTACAGGGTTGGACGACACCTAGGCCGAGGGCGAGCATGCCACACATCTTAGTTAAGTCATACTAGACTACAGTTTCACCTTGAGCCCCCAACCCGGCTGATGCGCTTTGGCATCTTTGGCTCGGGCTCCTTCTTGGCCTCCTTTGCAGGCCTTACCATAAGATTGTAGGCTGGTCGGCCTGCGTACGATCCTTGAACCCGGCCTCCCAGGCATTCCAAACGGGGTGCTTTGAATTGCCTTCTTTCCAAGGGAAGTGAACAGGCCCGCTCTGCGCACTAAGAAAGGGTGGCCAGACATGTCGAAGCTGAAATGCTTCAAGGGGGATGCCCGCATTTGCTTAAAGCACGGAGGAACTGACGCGGCATTGCAGCCGGCACAGTCTACGGCTGAGGCGTGCTGAAGTAGACGCGCAGGGCCGCTGGCCTGCCAAACTGAGGGAGAGCGGTGAGTTGTGTGGGGGCCACAGCCTGGCGACGTTTGCGCGGTAGCCTGACAGGAGACA